TAGAAAGAACTTCGTACGAACCTTAATTGTCCGATTTCAAGACCAATCAATATTGGATTGAGTCCAATACTTGGAGAACATCATAATATGGTGGTAGAAGTCATTTGGTCTGTTCTGAGTGAAATATAATCGCTAGAACTGTGCAATACACTAACCACTCCATTTCACAATGAACCTCGTACGAACATGAATTGTCTAATTTTGAGGACCAATCGATATCGAATTGAGTCCGAAGCATGGGGAACATCGTAATATAGCGGGAGGATTCAATGGGTGAGTTTTGAGTGAAATCCAATGGCCAAAACTACGCAATACAATAACCACTCCATTTCATAACGAACTCCATACGAATCTGAATTGTCCGATTTCATGGACCAATCTATATCGGATTGATTCCAAAACTTGGGGAGCATCATAATATGGTGGGAGGAGTCATTTGGTGGGTTTTGAGTGAAATCCAATCTCTAGAACTATGCAATGCACTAACCACTACATTTCATAACGAACTTTGCACGAACTTGAATTGTCCAATTTCGTGGACCAATCGATATTGAATTCAGTCCAAAACTTGGGGAACATCGTAATATGGTGGGAGGAGTCATTTGGTGGCTTTTGAGTGAAATCCAATCTCTAGAACTATGTAATACGCCAACCACTCCATTTCAGAACGAACTTCACACGAACCTGAATTGTTCGATTTTATGGACCAATTGATATCGGATTGAGTCCAAAGCTTGGGGAACATCACAATATGGTGGGAGGAGTCATTTGGTGCGTTTTGAGAAAAATATAATCTATAGAACTATGCAATACACCAACCACTCCATTTCACAACGAACTTCGTACGAAAATAAATTGTCCAATTTCATGGAAAAATCGATATCGGATAGAGTCCAAAGCTTGGCGAACATCATAATACAGTTGGAGGATTCATTTGGTGAATTTTGAGAGAAATCAAATGGCCAAAACTATGCAATACACCAACCACTCCATTTCAGAACGAACTTCGTACGAATCCGTATTGTCCGATCTTGTGGTCCAATCGATATCGGATTAAGTCCAAAACTTGGGGCACATCATAATATCTTGGGAGGAGTCATTTGGTGAGTTTTGAGTGAAATCCAATGGCCAAAACTGTGCAATACAGTAACCACTCCATTTAAGAATGAACTTCGTTCGAACCTGAATTTTCCAATTTCATGAACCAATCGATATCGGATTGAGTCAAAAGCTTGGGGAACATCATAATATAGTGCGAGGATTCTTTTGGTGAGTTTTGAGTGAAATCCAATGGCTGAAACTATGCAATACAATAAGCACTCCATTTCAGTACAAACCCCATACGAACTTGAATTGTCCGATTTCATGAACCAATCGATGTCGAATTGAGTCCAAAACTTGGGGAACATCATAATGATGTGGGAGGAGTCATTTAGTGAGTTTTGGGCGAAATCCAGTTTTTGTAACTGCTTTTATAGTGTGGTTAGTATGTTCATATGTATTTTCTAAACTTTGTTTTTGGGTCCACTCACCCTTTTAATGTTTTGCACCCCCAGGCTGTAGACGTGCATCCGTGAGCCACCACAGGGCAGTTCCCACTTCCCGTTCTTCCTCAGTTTGATGTAGGGTTCTTGGTTCACAAGTTGTTCCTTTCCTTGTAAATTAATCTGCATAGTTGCTCTGATATTGCCCTAGAATATATTTAATTGTTGGAACGTATTTATATATGTATGCTGGCAGTTGGTGTATATATTTAAATGCGTGTTGACAGGTGTAAATTTTGGGAATGTTCGACTTACAGGGGAAACTCTGTCGAATTTTCGGTAGCAGTTGAGGCCTAGGGGAAGCTAAGGTTTTAATCAGAAGGGCAACCAGGTCATTTGTGCTCGGCACCTGCCAGGTGTCGATCACGCACAGGGTCCGGCTCGGATTCCAAAGTGGAATTTAGGTCGGGTCCTGTCAATTTGGTATCAGAGCATTAGGTTTAATTTCCTGTAGACTTCTCACTTTATGCATTCCAGTTTTAAGAAGTATCTATTCCTTGTGAGAGTAAGCATGGGCCCTAAGCATGGTTACTTCCATAGAGGGACTAGACAGTCGTCCCGAGTCAGGGGACAGGATCCCCAATCCAAGTAAGAGGAATTCCCTATCCCAGCACCGGTACCTGAACCGGTAGAACAGTCTTTTGTTGGAGGTCCATTAAGGGCCGCACCTGCCATTTCCACTATGCCAGGAGATCTCCACTTCCAGCAAATGTTAGAGATGTTGACGCAGGCTCTAGCTAGGACTAGGCAGCCTAGAGATCCCTCCTTGAGTTATGTTGATCAGGCTAAGAGAAGTGGGGCCACCGATTTTAATGGTGATGGTGACCCAGCAATAGCCGAGTAGTCAGGGGGATAGAGCGGATCAGGGATATAATGGTCGTGCCATAGGACCGCAGAGTGACCTTGGCCACTTTATTTTTTGTCAGAAATGTTAGGCACTGGTGGAAGGCAATCAGGAAGAGATGTCAGGACCCATCAGTCATCACATTGCCAGTGTTATAGTAGTGTTTGATAGCCAGTACTATCCACAAGCATACTAGAAGATGAATAGGGAAAAGTTCTTGCAGCTGGAGCAGGAAGTGATGACTGTGTTGGAATATGAAAAGAAGTTTAACGAGCTGTCCATATATTATGTTTCATTGGTAGAGGATGAAAGAAAGAAGTGCCAATTGTTCACAAGAGGGTTGAAGATTTCCTTAAGAGACATTGTTGTCAGCGGCTGATTGACCTTGCAGATTTGGTGATGTCTACCTCGTTAGTAGAGTGCAATCAAATGATGGTCCAAGCACGGGGTGATCCTCGCAGGAGACAATTAGATATGGGTGGTCCTAGTTAGGGGCCGTCCAAGAGGGGCAGTTACAATTCGGGATCATCCAGTGGCCGCCGTTATGGAGGTTTTCGACCCGAAATTAGTTCCAGCGGAAGCTCTAACCAGAGTGGTAGTTCTGGAACCGTTCTGGAAGGGTATAGCCAGAGGCACTGGAAGATAGCTACAAACAGTTTCTAGTAGGGGAAGGTATTGTTGGAGGCAGATCTAACTCTTCTGGAAATGGTTGACTTGGACGTCATTCTAGGCATGGATTAGTTGGCCAAGCATCATGCCTCAGTGGATTGCTTTAGGAAGGAGGTTGTACTCCATAGTCCCGGAAGACCCGAGGTGACATTTCATGGTAAACGTAGAGTTCTACCATCTTGCCTCATTTCAGCCATGACGGCAAGACGGTTGCTCAGGAAGGGGTGTTCAGGATTTCTAGCTTATGTTATTGACACCACAGATGATGGATTAAAATGGGAAGATATTCTAGCGGTATAGGAATTTCCAGATGTATTCTCCGAGGATCTTCCTGAGTTACCTCCTTATTGGGAGATCAAGTGCACTATTGAGCTCGTTCCAGGAACGAATCCTATTTCTCAAGCACCATACAGAATGGCACCAGCCGAGTTAAGGGACTTAAAGACTTAGTTGCAGGAGCTTGTAGATAAGGGTTTCATCTGACCAAGTTTTTCCCCTTAGGGTGCTCCAGTGCTGTTTGTTAAGAAGAATGATGGCACCATGAGGTTATGCATTGACTACAAGCAGCTGAACAAGGTCACGGGGCGGAATAAGTATTAGCTGCCTCATGTTGATGATTTATTTGACCAGCTGAAGGGTGCCAAGGTATTCTTTAAGGTTGACTTGAGATCCGGATATCATCAGTTACATATTAGAGAAGAAGATGTGCCTAAGACAGCTTTCCATACGAGATATGGGCACTATGAGTTTTTGATGATTCCATTTGGGTTAATTAATCCGCCAGCTGAATTTATGGATCTCATGAACAGGGTGTCCGACGTTACTTGGATCGCTTTGTGATTGTGTTCATAGATGACATTCTGGTGTATTTTAAGAGTCAGGAGGCACACATGAAGCACTTGGAAATTGTGCTGAAGACTCTAAGGAGGAGGTAGTTTTATGCCAAATTCAGTAAAGGTCAGCTCTGGTGGGACATAGTAAGTTTTTGGAAGGTATAGTTGTAGATCCCTAGAAGGTTGTGGCAGTGGTTTTTGCCTTAAAGATTTGGCGGCACTATCTTTACAGGCAAACATGCCAGATCTTTGTAGATCACAGAAGTTTGAAGTATCTATTCACCTAGAAGGAACTAAATTTGAGGCAAAGAAGATAGCTAGAGTTGATTAAAGATTATGATTGTACCATTGAGCATCACCCAGGAAGGGCTAATGTTGTAGCTAATGCACTCATTAGAAAATCCTTGAGATTTGTTGCTTATCTCCGAGGGAGGTATTTGCCATTGATGGTAGAAATGAGGAAGCTTAGAGTTGGGCTAGGTGTGGATATCAAGGAGTACTGTTAGCTACTCTCCTTGTGAGACCAGTGTCAGTGGAACGAATACTCACAGCTCAAGCACAGGATCCCTTGATTTGTACGTTGCAATTGGAAGTTGAGAATGGTGATAAAATCGACTATTCAGTAAGAAATGATGGAGCTCTAATGGTGGGTACCAGGTTATATGTCCCTAATAATGAAGCTTTTGGAACCTAGTTGCGGTTTAGTACTGCATTTCACCCCCAGACAGATGGCCAGTCTGAGAGGACCATTCAGACTTTAGAAGATATGTTGAGAGCTTGTGCACTACAGTTTCGGGGTGATTGGGATGAGAAGTTACCACTTATGGAGTTTGCCTATAATAACAGTTATTAGGCAAGTATCGGGATGTCTCCCTTTGACGCCTTGTATGGAAGACAGTGTAGAACTCCATTTTATTAGGATGAAGTGGGTGAGCACAGATTGGAACTGTTTGATGATGCTGAATGGACAAAGAAGCAGGTGGAAATAATTAGAGAACGACTCAAGGCAGCCCAGGACTGACAAAGAGTTATGCAGATAACAGAAGAAAAAACCTTCAGTTTGAAGTTGGTGATTGGGTAGTTTTGAAGTTATCGCCATGGAAGTGCGTAATGAGATTTGGGAAGCGGGGGAAATTGAGTCCTTGCTATATTGTGGAGCATGTGGGCCCAGTAGCGTACAGGCTTGCCTTGCCTTCAGATCTCTCCCAATTGCATGATGTGTTCCATGTTTCCATGCTCCGGAAGTATATTTCTGATCCTTCCCATGTTTTCGAGGAGCAACCAATAGAATTGCAAGAAGATTTAACCTATGTGGAGCAACCAGTTCAGATTTTGGTTTGGGACATGCAAGTGTTGCGTTCTAGAGAGATCCCACTTGTGAAGGTTTTGTGGAGAAGTCACAATATTAAAGAAGCTACATGGGAACCAGAGGATCAAATGCGGAAACAGTACCCTTACCTCTTCGAGTGACAGGTACGTAAATTTCCAGGACAAAATTTTCATAAGGGGGGTAGATTGTAATAATCCAAACCTTAATTATTATTTAATTAGTAAATTATTAAGAGGAAGGGACACTTCTGCCCTTAGAATATTTTATTAAGGAAAAGTTGACTTTTTGACCAAGGAAGAATTTGACCATTCCACTTGCACCGTAGAGCACGTTGAGACGAGTCCGTAGACATGTAGTGGGCTCAAAGAGGAGTTGTAACGAAGAAGTTATGATCAAAAGAAGTTCAGTAGCACAATCATAAATTTTCCAAAGTTCAGATTTCTTAAACCCAAATTTTTCTTCTCCTTCGCAAATCTCGAGAACAGACATCTTCAAACTCAGTTTTCTCCTCCGTCCAGCAACCAAATCGAGTGCCACAACTTGCGAACTCTTCGTTTCTCTCTCCTCTTTCCATAAATAGCCATATCCAGCCTTGATTCCAAGCGAATCAACCAGAAAATCGAGCCAAATTTGAACCCAAAAATGGGCAGCTTCGAACATAAATTTCGTGGTCTTTTCCGGCCATCTCCGGCCACCACCAGCCACCCAATCAATTCCAAAACACTTCCCTACCTTCTCTTTAGAATTTCCTTCAAAGACTCGACCCAATTTCAAGTAGAAATTGGCAAACCCCAAACTAGCACTTTTTAGGTTTTTCAAGATACAAAAGGCTTCGTTCGAGGGCTTTAGAGGTGGAATTGATCATCGAGCCAAGGTATAAAGTTACTCCCCTTGATGTGCTTAATCCGTAGGTATGATTATTGGCTGACGGTTTGGAGTTTTCCGATCACCGGAAAATCACTCAATACACCCGCAGATGGTGGCGGCGAGTGGCGACGCATCACCGGGGTCTCAATGTTGGGTTTTTGTCCTAGAATGTTCCCCACGTCGTCCCGAGTATGATGGTATGCTCGGATTCCAATTTGGATAACGTTTGAGCCCTGAACGGATCTCGCATAGTGTGTGATTTTGGGTTCAATATAGTTGAGCCGTTGGATCGTAATCCTTTTCAGATATGTTGAACCAATTAATTCCAAGACCGTGTAGGAATCAACGGATCTTGAATTGGGGTCCCAGATACTCCGAAATCGCGAACCCTAGGATTAAGGTTATAGGAACCGCTTAATTGTGCGATCGTGACCAATTCAACCATCCGATCGAGACCAGACTCACGGGACATGTGTCCTAGGTTTTAAGGGACGTTAAGGTGGGCATAGGAATAACTTTAATTTGATGCACGCACTTCTAGGAGCCTCGGGTCAGGGTTTTTATATTATTATTTCTATTGAGTAAGTATATTAATATATATCATTATGGTAATTGAATCAGGCACCCGGGCACCAGGTGACCCGCAGGAGGGACCTTCAAATGGTCTAGCGAGCTCGGACCAGTTGTGAGTGGACTCTTTGTTTTCATAAATGAATTTATGCAATTCAGTTACAGTATTTGATATTGAATAAGTTTTATTCAAAGATTAGTGTTTTATAAGCTGTTATATGCTTTTAAATATTTTAATTCACATGCTGCCGAGTGAGATATCCTTTATGGATATAGGCAAAGGAGATTTGAGATAACTATCATATAAATGGCAGCAGAGTTTTAGACTTAACAGAAATTCAATTATTCAGCAGAACTTTCAAGATTTTATATTTTCTTAAGCCACCTCAGGCACCCAGATATAGATATGTTGCCTTCGGATATGACGTGTCCACGGACATCCAGGTTGCCTTCAGTTTTGTCAGCGTGCTTGACATTTGCCTCACAAGTTTCGGGGATGCCCAGACTGTGGGAGCCAGGAATGCGGATCAGGCTGACTACAGTCCCCTGAATCCTGCCAGTTTGCGGCTCGGGTTGACCTTGTGTCACCGAGACCTACCAAAGCAATTGACGGATATCAGGAATTGACAGAAATAAAGGGGTACACCTAGGTGGTAGTTTTAAATTGATTTCAATGCTTTTAAGAGATTGATGTTGACCATGAGCATGATTGGTGTATTTATATATGTATATATGAGTGCATTGATTTCAGTACGCATATACAGAAGAGAATGATTTAGTTTTTATAACTGCTTTTATAGTGGGGTTAGTATGTTCATATGTATTTTCTAAACTTTGTTTTTGGGTCCACTCAGCCTTTTAATGTTTTACGCCCCCAGGCTGTAGACGTGCATCCGTGATCCACCACAGGGCAGTTCCAACTTCCCGTTCTTCCTCAATTTGATGTAGGGTTCTTGGTTCACAAGTTGTTCCTTTCCTTGTAAATTAATTTGCATAGTTGCTCTGATATTGCCCTAGAATGTTTTTAATTGTTGGAATGTTTATATATGTATACTGGTAGTTGGTGTATATATTTAAATGCGTGTTGACAGGTGTAAATTTTGGGAATGTTCGACTTACAAGGGAAACTCTGCCGAATTTTCGGTAGCAGTTAACGCCTAAGGGAAGCTAAGTTTTTAATCAAAAGGGCAACTAGGTCATTTGTGCTCGACACCCGCTAGGTGTCGATCACGCACAGGGTCCGGCTTAGATTCCAAAGTGGAATTTGGGTCGGGTCCTGTCATACAACCTAGGAAAGAATAAAGGTAGAGAGTGAAAGAAGAACATTCCTACGGAGCAAACAATGATGATGCCTCGAAATGGTGGTCTCGACCTCGGAATCTAGGATTTGGTGTGCGCAAAATGGAAAATGTGAGTGCACGAAAACAAAATGTTTAACATAAATTATAAACAACATAAATAAACCCTAGATATAATGCCAAGCAATAAAATCCTTTGTATGCGTACATAAATAAGAACCGATACTTGAAAATAATCCAATTTAGTATACTTATAACAAAATATATACGATAAAGAAATCCATTTAATTAATACTTCATTGTTTAGTCCTCATTGTAAAACCATATAATTGAAACTTCCAAAATAATCCCGTTAAAGTAAAATATAAACATCAAAACCCAAAATATCCTTTTTCTCCCGCAACCATACCCATTCTTAGGCATGTGCTTGCAAACATAAAATGTCAAATAATTTGCAATTACCCAATCTCAAATCCAAACCTCATTTCAAAAGTCCATACCTGTGCAGAGCAATCTCATGCAGATGCTCAGAAAACTCAACCTCGAAATAAATCCACAAATGTACCCACACAAATACCCATATACATATTTATATAACAAAACCGACTTTAGAACCAAGATATCCCATAATCGCTATATAGCATATAACACAAACTTAAACAAGACCTTGTTCCCTTCCCAGACCACTCTCTTCTAAAATGCATGCCTGTAGACACATCAAGTGAGGAAGGATCCCTCAACCATGTAGCCAGGGATGAGCCGTCCAATAGGGGACTGTCCCTCACCAACCCTCACAACAGATTTCTTAATACTCGTGCTTCTGTGCCAAGTTCTACGCGCACAGACTACCCAGCCAAGGGCCTTCAATTACAACCCACCAAGGTGCTCGGGACATAACCACAAACCTTTCAATTTCATTGTTTCTGATGTGCGTGACCAAGTGCATGGAGAGGTACATAGACATTTGGACTAATAGCACTCCAAACAAACATAAACCACAACCCAACTCAAATACATAGACATCCAGACATTAGTAGTGCCCATAACTCAATACCCAAATATATATATTCAAAGTATAGATAGTAACTCTCAAAAATAACATAAATCATAACCCAAAATTATCAAAATCTTCAAATATCCAAATATACTCCAATAATCCCATAACGTAATCTCATAAACCCATCAAGACCCCAAAATAATTCGAATCATAATCAAAACTTGTTTCATAATCTCAAGACACTATAATCCAATGTTAAAACACAATATAGTTTCATAATCTCAACAGTCAAAAAAATCAAATTTCTATAATGCAAGACAATCCATCTTTGAAAGTAATGATCATTTAAAAACAAAGTCCACTCATAACAGGTCCACGCTACTCAATCTTGAGAGAGCTTTTCCTCTGGAATACAACGTGACGCAAGAATACCTATTCGAGAGAATAAACATGCGTAATTAGTATGCGTACCCAAAAATGAAGTAGGTGTGCACGACTACCGGAGAGTTTCTAAGGCCAAACTAACACTTTTCGAAAGGTGGAACGCCCTCGGAAGACTCACAGTCAACCGAGTGGTCAAACTTCCCATATTGGTCAAACGGCCCCGCATGGCACACAACCTCCAATTTCCGATATGAAAGTCCCTACAAGTTCAATAAGATTTACTAAACACGTCCTGTAAGTTTGGTCTCGATTGAGCGGTCGGATGTAAGATAGTTGCACGATCGGATGGCAATCGCTTTGTCACTGGAAATTTCTCGAAACACCCTACAATACCTATACCAACACATTCAGACTATCAAGGGAAGCATTTTTGGTTCTTGGACCAAGGCCATAAAGTGGGCGAAGCTAGCAAGATCGAACCCAAACCGTGAGCCCTAAGTGGGTGTTTTAAACGATTTTGGTCACTGGAATTGCTGGAAATTGCCCAAACACTCCCAGCGATGAACGAGGGTTTTGGCTTGGTTTCAGTCCAAAATCGCAATCAATCTTGGAGTACTGAAGGTGGAAATGGGTATGGACGTGTAGAGAAGGAAGAGAAGATTCTGTTGCAACAAGAATCGTCGGATTTGGTCTATGAAAGGAGGAGAAAACACGATCCGTTTTCGCGAAGGAGAGAGAGAGAACACGCAGGGAGGAGAGGAATAAGAAAGAGAGAGCTGATTCGTTTTAAAACCAAACTTTGAAAAATTTACAGTTGTGCCACTGCACTTCCGTTCACCACAACTTCTTCATTAAAACTACGATTTTAGCCCACCGCGTGTCTACGAACACGTGGGGAGCGAACCCTACACAATGGTGCCACTCAATTCCCCAAAATTCTTTCGGATAAAAAAAGTTACTAAAGGGACCCCACCCTGAAGGGCAAAATTGTAATTTCACAATTACATAAATTGAATAAAACGAT